GGCTAGATCTCCCATTGAGTCAGTTTCTCATATTGATTGATTTGAATGTCTCCTTGTTTCGTTTCTAACGAAACGGCTTGCATTCTGATCATTCAGTTATCTTCACGTCTCGATCGGCTTTGGCTTTACTGGCTTTGGCTCAGGCGACTACACTTTGTTAGATAAGTGAATCCATTGTCCTCTGTCAGTGAGACATCATTCGTCACACTCTTCTTCTTCTAACCATTTAAACTTTTCAAGAATAATGCTGGCATATTTTGGATGTACAGATTTGTCTATGTGTGATAGCTAAAACCGTACTCTAAAAAGTTATTTTTATTTATTTAAAAAAAAAAAGAGTATAAACACAAAGATACATCCAACAAAAATTTAGTTTTGGCCAAACTAATGAACTAAAGGAAGCCAATTGCATGTCACATCAAAACAAGCGAACCAGCTAAAATCTTTTTCCTTGAAGAAGAAGAAAAAAATATTATTAGTTAAATAATTTTAATACAATAAAAATGGTTGAAGGCATTTTTTTAATTGAATGCTAATAAAAAATAGAATTTGTCCCACACATTATTGGTTGGTCAATAAAATGTTGACATCAAATGTGGGTTATACAAGGTTCAAGAAAAGCACTAGCTTTTATATACATTTATAGTTGATTTAACATACACACATTATTGGTTGGTCAATAAAATGTTGACATCTAATGCGGCTTATTATATACATTTATAGTTGATTTAACATATTTAGAAAAATTTTAAATTCTTAATTTACGAGACATTTTTAAGGCAAGGCCATACCTGGTACTAAAAATTCTCGAAATGTGTGTCATCATCCTCATCATGTCATAAACTAACAGTTGGGATTGGTGCATAGATCCAACTTAATAATATCATTCCAAGGAAGAAATAGAATATATATATATATATATATAAAATACTGTAATAAGGCCAAGATCATGGCAATAAATGCAATATATTAATTAAAGTACAAGCATAGTTCCAGCACGAGAGTGCTGTCCTTGTGAACCAAAAACTAACATGGCACACAAACTTCAAAGCCACACTTACCATCCAAGCCAAGCGAAAAATTATTACATTAGTACTACATATATAGTTATTTACGAAGTCCAATCTAAAACTGACACGTGATTGGAGCTCACCTGCATAAAAAATAAAAATAAGACTGAAAATGGGGGACCCGACCCGACCGAATATTCCCGCGCGTTATTCTGAAATTTTTTCGCGTTATCCATGTGTTATTGGTGTGCTATTGAGGTGTTATTCATGTCAGGTAATATTTTTCGCTTTTTTAATGTGGTATTGGTGTGTTATTCATGAATAGCATCTCAATAACACACCAATAACACATGAATAACGCGATAAATATTCAGAGTAACGCGAAGAGAATATTCATATAATACGGTCAAACCCGGTCGCTCGTTTTTAATGTGTTATTGGTGTGTTATTCACTTGTTTTTGAGGTGATATTCATGTCAGGGAATATATTTTGCATTTTTAATGTGTTATTGTTGTGTTATTCATGAATAACAATTCAATAACACACCAATAACACAAGAATAACGCGAAAAATATTCAGAATAACGTGAACGAAATATTCCTATAATACGGTCGAGCCGGGTCACACATTTTTAATGTGTTATTGGTTTATTATTCATGTGTTATCATTGTGTTATTGAAGTAATATTTTCCACGTTACTTATGTGTTTTTGATATTATTGTTTAAAGAACAATAATATCTCAAAATCAACTCAATAACACATCAATAACACATAAATAAAGTGGAAAATATTCAAAATAACGTCAAAGAAATATTCTTATAATACGTTCGGGTCGTGTCGCGTGTTTTCAATTTTTTTTTATGGAGGTGGTCCACAACTTTCCACGTGTCAACTCTACATTGGACTCTACAAGCAGCTCTTCATGTGAAGTCTTGATGTAATTTCAGTGTTGTGAGACATGGTTTTAACCCTCGAAGAAGAGGGTTGTGGGAGATTATCTACGTGCAGAAGACGTTGAATTAGACGGGCTTGAAAAATTAGAGATTTTTTTCATTTTTATTCGATTAGAAAATGATGCGTACTCCCAGTGAGGTGTGATTTGCCCTCGTGGCTTAGAAAGTGTCCGCCCCATGAGATTTGCACCCCCCACATGTGATTGGGGTGAAATGGTGTATGCCTCACCTAGGGGCGCGTGCGCCCCAAAAACTCCTTTTTAAACAGAGGTATCTAATGCCTTTGCATTAAATAGAGAAATAATAAGATAAGTTTGAAGGCAAGACTTTGGATAGGATGTTGATAGAAAAAATTATGGAAGTCATCTTAGGAATTGTCATATCAAATGGTGACCTAGTAGATGCAACCAAATGATAAGGATTGTTTCATACTTCATTTTTTATGCTATAATTTCTAGGCAAATTTGCATACCTAGTTAATAATTGTTATGTATTTACATATCTCATATTTAAACTTCCATATTTACATATATGATCTTTAGTGCTTTAAATTTATGCATGAAAATATGTATTTGACTTTTTAAAAAGTGCAAAAAATGATATTTTTTCCTTGCGATATAAAATATTTGTGTGTTGTGTATATAAATATGAAAGTTTAGATGTAAGAAATTTGAATACATAAGAATTGATATGCCATGTATGTTAATGACCCTATTTTTTAAAAGAAAATGTGTAAAGTTTACTTCAAAATTTATTACTGGAGATTACAACATAAATGCTTAACATGCATAAGAAAAGATATAGCCTCACCTAATTAGAGTAGTAAAAAAAGTTTGTGGTTTGCGAACAATTCGTGTTCAAATTATTCTCTAGGTAAGCGAGCATGACAAAATTTTCATGCTCGGTTTATAAACAAGCTAAGCAGAAGTAACCCTTTGTTCCATCTTGTTCGACTTGTTATAGCTCGAAATAACAAAATTATATGTATTATATATACATTTATATATCTAAATTTAAATCAACATAGCTAGTATGGTCATGTAGTTATGCACCTCTTATTGCATTGGAATGGTACACTTCAAATCTAACACCCTACATTTGCTTTTCTTTTTAATTTAAGCGAGCTAATTTCAAACTAGACATAAGCCTTGCACGAACATGAATATGTAAACCAAACCAAACATGAACACCGCATTCACGAGAAATTTCATACGTGAGCCAATTTAGAACAAATTTAATTTCAAACGAGCCGAGCCTAAACTTATTCAAGCTCGGCTTGTTTTCAACACTACACTAGATGAGTTACTTGAGCTCTATTTGAATAAAAAAAAATAACATCATATTAAATAATATATCTAATGATTTACTTTAAACAAATTATTAATCTTTATCTTGATTCCATTTAATTTCTTAAGATTAATAGTAAATGGATAACAACATTATGTTCAGATTGTGGGGAAGGCCTGGTTAAGCCTAATCATATTTGATTTAGAAGTCATTTAGCTTATATAAAGGGATACATAATTTATTAATTTAAGTTCTTATTAACAAATATATATGTAAACTAATATATAGATTTGTTTAGCTTAAACTCGAGCCAAACTTTCAGATGCATCATAAAGATA